AAATCTCCAAATCAAAGCTATTACAGGGAATGGCTACCACCCCAAGTCTATATTCCCGGCCAGGGAGAAGCTTCCAAATCCATCAGCTGGTGCAGTATTTTATGTACTGCAGCTCAATACAGGGACATTTGTCTATTGGGATCTCTTTGATACCTTAATATACAATCAAGGAAGCTCTCATTATTTTTGATTACATGGAAGTCATTGCTATCTACCCTGCATCATTACTTCTGTATAATTGTAGTCTTGAGTAATTATATTACATACTATTGTGGTTTGGTTAATTGTATAATGAGGAATGTGTTTTGTTTAGTGGGCAAATGGTATGTTTCTGTTGATTTGCAGTTACTTTCTCTAACAAAATGGAAAACTGTGGCTAAAGCTTTGTTTGATCTCTTACTGATCTAATTTACATTTGCTTGACATCTGTGATGGGGAAGAAGGGTTACAAAGACAGATGTTTCCTGAGTTTTGTGTTTTCTTTTCTTTTTTATAATAAAGATAAATGCCATAAAAGTGCATGTCTATGTAAACAAGGAGCAACAATAAATGTGTAAAATAAAGAGGCTAGAGGCCAGAGGTCAGAGGTCAGCCAAGGAGAGAAAAGCCTCACTGCTTGGGGAAGCAGACTCAGGGGGGCCTGACCTTCAGCAGGCTCCCAAGCCTGTGCTTGGAGGCAGCTGAGAACCTTCTCTGCCCATCTAGTTTCCCCTCAAGAGAGAAGGCTGTAGAGGGCCAAAGACAGAGGAGCCCAGGCTCCAGGATTTATTCTAACTCCTGCCAAAACTGGTTTGACTTTTAAAAAAATAATCACAATGCTTGGGTTAAAAATCAGTTTGTAACCAGGCATCAGCCACAATCAGAACCACCCCAGGGGGAGAATGGGGTTCCAGACAGGGTACTGCAACCCTAACTCTGTTGTTCCCTTAACCCTCTAGGGTTCCTAACCCAAATCAGTCCAACCAGTCCTGGGTACTGGCTACCCAGTGTGGGAGTGGCTCCTCCTGGGATGGGAGGCGACATGTATAGCAAGTGCCGGAAAACTTGGCTCAGGGTCAACCCCATTCCTGTCAGTCAGCTGTACTCCAGCCCATGTTCACATCCTCCAGCTCAGTTCCAAGGCATACCACCTACTTGGCAGGTGGGACAGTACATCTCTTCAGGATGTAAGCCAGATAGGTGGGTGCCCTGGCATGAGAGTCCCACAGAAGGGCAACAGCACCCATCCAACCTCCACTGACAACCTGTCTGTTCTATTTTCCATGTGTTAATCCATGTGAATTGTTAGCCAGCTGGTAAGAACTCGCCTGCTAGGGACAGCAGGGGTGGGGATGCTCTGCTGTGGTTTCCCAGCACTTCCCCAAGGAACGCTGAGTTTCTCTTCTGGGACCTCAGACACTGGGACCTCTAACCTTGCCTTCAGTGTGGTTTTCTTCCTTCACAGTGAAATGGGGCCCACCTACACATCCAGGATTTTATTTCCTTGTTCCT